CAGCAGAGGTCACTGATGAACAAGTATTTCTTTCTTTCTTATTTTCTTTGTTCTGTCTGCCCTTTTCCACCAAAATTTCATGCAAATTAACAATTATATGAATGGATGACAGACCAAATCATTTAGCTTTTTAAAAAACCTATTTAAGAATTCCCTACTAAAAAAAAAAAAAAAAAAAAGAGTTCCCTACTTACAGAAAACCTTGGTGTGTTAAATGTGACAGCTTGGCTTGTTTCGGCAATATTGGCCCCCCCCCCCCCCGCTTTTTTTTTAAGATTATGTATTTGAAAGGCAGTTAGAGGGAAGGACGCACAGAGAGAAAGACATCTTCCGTCTGCTGATTAAGTTATTTATTCCCCAGCCATTCGTGGGCCAGTCCGAAGGCAGAAGCTAGGAGCTTTATCTGGGTCTCGCACATGGGTGCAGGGGCCCAGGCATTTGGGCATCTTCCATTGCTTTCCCATTGGATTATTAGGGAGTTGGATTGGAAGCAGAGCAGCCTGGAATCAGATCACTGCCCACAGCGGATACCTGCATTGCAAACAGCTGCTTAACCCACTAAGCCACAGTGCCAACTCCAGATGTTGTCTTTTCTTGAAATACTAAGAAGAGAACAGTCTAGATACTCTCATGTTTTTTTCTTTACCACTTCCTTGTAATTGTTGATAGACTACAAAAATACATCATCATGTATCTCTGTGTTAATAGGAAATCAAATTACCTAAGAATGTTGAAAGTTTAAACATTCACTTCCTCTACAAATCATATATGTAAAATCCTTCACAAATGTGTTGTGATTCATTATATCCTTGATCTAAATTGTTTTGACAAACTTTATATTTTTGCATGGGAAACCTAGAGTTTGGATTTAGCTGAAATAGTAAAAAACTAAAATATATATTCTGTTGCTTTTATGAAACATTTGTTTTACAAATAATAGCACGAATAAAAGTGGAAACCATTTGGGTTTTCTAGAAAACAGTGAATGTTGTGTGTCTACTTTTAGGATTTTTTTTTTTTTTTTTTTTTGACAGGCAGAGTTAAGACAGTGAGAGAGAGAGAGAAAGAGACAGAAAGGTCTTCCTGCTGGCGCCGCGGCTCAATAGGCTAATCCTCTGCCTGCGGCGCCGGCCCCCCAGGTTCTAGTCCCGGTTGGGGCGCCGGATTCTGTCCTGGTTGCCCCTCTTCCAGGCCAGCCCTCTGCTATGGCCCAGGAGTGCAGTGGAGGATGGCCCAAGTATTTGGGCCCTGCACCTGCATGGAGACCAGGAGAAGCACCTGGCTCCTGGCTTCGGATCAGCGTGATGCGCTGGCCGCAGCGGCCATTGGAGGGTGAACCAACGGCAAAGGAAGACCTTTCTCTCTGTCTCTCTCTCTCACTGTCCACTCTGCCTGTCAAAAATAATAATAATAAAAAAAAGAAAGAGAGAAAAATCCTACATCAAAGTTCCTGGGTTCAATACCTGACTCTGGCTTTTGACTCCAGCTTCTTGTTAATGCAGGCCCTGGTGGTAGTGGTGATAACTCAAATGATTGGGTTCCTGCCACTCATGTGGGAAACTTGAATAAAGTTCCCTGTTCCCATCTAATAGCCTGATCCAGGCCACTCTGGGCATTTGGGGAATGAACCAGAGGGTTGAAGCTTTCTGTCTCTGTCAATCTGTCTTTCTGCCTCTTCCCACCTCCTTCCCACAATGGCTGGAGCTGCGCCGATCTGAAGCCAGGAGTTTCTTCCAGGTATCCCACACAGGTACAGGGGCCCAAGGAATTGGGCCATCTTCTACTGCCTTCCCAGGCCATAGTAGAGAGCTGGATTGGAAGTGGAGCTACCAGGTCTTGAACCGGTGCTCATGTGGGATGCCGGCACTTTAGGGCAGAGCGTTAACCCTCTGCGCCACAGCACTGCCCCCAGTAAGAAATCTTTAAAAACAAAGATAATGGCTGGTTGTGGTGTAGCAGGTAAAGCAGCTGCCTGTGACACCAGCATCCCATATGCAGTCCCAGCTGCTCCACCTCTGATCCAGCTTCCTGCTGGTGGCCTAGGAAAAGCAGTGGAGGATGGCCCAAATGCTTGGACCCTTCCACTCATGTGGGAGACCCAGAAGAAGCTCCTGCCTCCTGGCTTCCACCCAGCCCAGCCCTGGTCTTTGCAGCCACTTGGAGAGTGAACCAGTGGATGGAAGACCCCTCTCTCTGTCTCTCCCTCTCTGTTCATAATTATTTCAAATAAATAAATCAATCTCTCTCTCTCTCTTTTTTTTTTTTTTTTTTTTTTTGTATTCTGTTGCCTAGAAAAGTGCCTGATAGGGGCTGGCTCTGTGGTGTAGCAGGTAAAGCCACTGCCTGTAGCACCAATATTCCATATGGTCTCCCGTTTGAGTCTCAGGTGCTCCACTTCCGATCCACCTCTCTGCTAACATGCCTGAGAAAGCAGTGGAAGATGGCCAAAGTGCTAGGGCTGCTTCACCATGTAGGAGACCCAGAAGTATCTCCTAGCTTCAGATTGGCCTAGCTCTGGCCATTGTGGCCATTCTGGGATTGAACCAGTGAATGGAAACTCTCCATCTCTCCCTCCCCCATCTTTGTAACTTTGCCTTTCAGATAAGTGTCTGATATTTACAGGGTTTTCAGTAATGTTCATTACATAAGGTCAGTAGGAGTTTCTACTATACTTAATAGCAATAAACATACAGTTTTGGCCGGCACCGTGGCTCACTTGGCTAATCCTCCACCTGCGGCGCCGGCATCCCAGGTTCCAGTCCTGGTTGGGGCACCGGTTCTAGTCCCAGTTGCTGTTCTTTCAGTCCAGCTCTCTGGACTCTAGCTGTCAAAAATTTTTTTTAAATATACTTATTGGGTCTGGCGCTGTGGCACAGCGGGTTAAAGGCCTGGCCTGAAGCGCCAGCATCCCATGTGGGCGCCGGTTCTGGTCCTGGCTACTCCTCGGTGTGCTGGCCGCAGCAGCCATTGAGGGGTGAACCAACGGAAAAGGAAGACCTTTCTCTCTGTCTCTCTCTCACACTGTGTACTCTGCCTGTTAAAAAAAAAAAAGGAAAAATAATATTTATTTTTATTTGAAAGGCAAAGTTAGAAAGAGGCAGAGAGAGGGAGAGAGGTCTTCCATCCACTGGTTCACTCCTCAAATGACCACAATGGCTGGAGCTGGCCTGATCTGAAGCCAGGACCCAGGAGCTTCTGCTGGGTCTCCCACTTGTGTGCAGGGGCCATCTTCCTCTGCCTTCCCAGGCCATAGCAGAGAGCTAGATTGGAAGAGGGGCATCCAGGTCTTGAACCGGCGCCCATATGGGTTGCCAGCACTGCAGGCATAGGCTTTACCTGCTACTCCACAGTGTAGGCCCCTGGCAGTTGCTTTTTTACATAACTTTAGTAGTCAGGCTAACAACAGGTGTGATCTCCTTGTGGCATAAGCAGTGGTTTTGTATAAAAGTGTTCATTTTGGGGGGTCAGTGTTGTGGCATGTTGGGTGAGGCCACCTATGATACTGGCATCCCATATGGGCTCCAGTTGAAGGCCCAACTGCTCCACTTCCCATCCAGCTCCCTGCTGATGCACCTAGGAAAGCAATAGAAGGTAGCCTGAGTAATTGGGCCCCAGCCATCCATGGTAGAGACCTGAGTGAGGCTCCTGGTTTCTGGCTTTGGCCTGGCCCAACCCCTGGCAGTTGTGGCCAAATATTTGGGTAGTAGACGAACTGATAGATGATTTTTCTGTCAGTCTGTCTCTGTAATTCTTTTTTTTTTTTTTTTTTTTTTTTTTTTGACAGGCAGTGGACAGTGAGAGAGAGAGAGACAGAGAGAAAGGTCTTCCTTTGCCGTTGGTTCACCCTCCAGTGGCCGCCGCGGCCGGTGCGCTGCGGCCGGTGCGCTGCGCTAATCCGATGGCAGGAGCCAGGTGCTTCTCCTGGTCTCCCATGGGGTGCAGGGCCCAAGCACTTGGGCCATCCTCCACTGCACTCCCTGGCCACAGCAGAGAGCTGGCCTGGAAGAGGGGCAACCGGGACAGAACCCGGTGCCCCGACCAGGACTAGAACCCGGTGTGCCAGTGCCGCAAGGCGGAGGATTAGCCTAGTGAGCCGTGGCGCCGGCCCTCTCTGTAATTCTTTCAAAAAATAATTTTTAAAAAGAGAAAAGTGCTCATTGTGAGTGATTTGATTAATTGCTCACTTGTGTACGTCAAGAATGCTGATGGTGATTATGAAACATGAAATATTCTCGTTCCCTATTCCAAACTTCTGAAGGGCTTTAAAAAAAAGATCTATTTATTTATTTGAAAGGCAGAGTTATGGGAGAGGGTGTCTTCCATCTGCTGGTTCACTCCTCAAATGGCCACAATGTCTGGAGCTGCAGTGATCCGAATCCAGGAGCCAGGAGCTTCTTTCAGGTCTCCCACATGGGTGCAGGGGCCCAAGGACTTGGGCCATCTTCTGTTGCTTTCCCAGGCCATAGCAGAGAGCTAAATCAGAAGTAGAGTAGCCAGGACTTGAACCAGCGCCCATATGGGATGCTGGCACTACAGACAGCGTCTTTACCTGCTATACCACAGTGCCGGCCCTGGAACACTTCTTTAAACAAGCAAATGTGAGCCAATTTTAGAAGTGACTTTATCTAAATGGCCTCTTGGAATAGTTTTCCATAGTAATGTGACCTTGGCAGTACCTCTGTTTCCTTATCTTACAAAATGAAGATAATAGGGATGGCATGAAAATTAAAAACGTTAATTCAAACACATGAAAACAACTTAAAACAGTATCTGTCATATCATCTCATCCTCCTGACTGTCTCTAGTTATTTTTCTCTAAAGACAAGGAATACACTGAATACTTCAAGACATTTTTCAGCCCTAAGAGTCTGAAAAGACATTTGACTTATAATACTCCCTGTACTTTTTTAGCTCTCTCTTAAGAGAATCACCTCTAAACTGAAGAGTTGGATGTAATGAAGTATTAAGTAACACTTGACACAATGATTTTGTTTTTGCAGATGTTCTCAAATAGCGATGAAGCTGTAATCAATAAAAAACTTCCCAAAGAACTACTATTACGGTAAGTTGGAATGCTGAGTTTATGTTGGTTTTTATACATGTCTATTATATTGGTCTACTTTAAAATTTTTAGAATTGTTGCAGATTTTCTTAAATGTGTAGTCTGTATTTGAATTCTTAAATTTATTGATTGTTTTGCCAGTCTTACTCTACATTTTCTAGCTATGACTCAAAAGTAAGTAGTAATATTTTTCTTTCAACTTAGACCTATATTTGATTTTGTTGACCAGTTTTCCCTTTGTCCTATTCTTCGATATAATGTGAGAGAGGTAATATTTTTTTATCTTATTAAGTCCTTGGAATAGTGATTCTGATCTACCCCTTACTCCTGTTCCCCATGCCCAATATCACAGTGTTTTGTTTTGTTTTGTTTTGTTTTGTTTTGTTTTGTTTTTGTTTTTTTTTTTTGGACAGGCAGAGTGGACAGTGAGAGAGAGAAAGGTCTTCCTTTGCCGTTGGTTCACCCTCCAATGGCCGCTGCGGCCAGCGCATCACGCTGATCCGAAGCCAGGAGCCAGGTGCTTCTCCTGGTCTCCATGCAGGTGCAGGGCCCAAGTACTTGGGCCATCCTCCACTGCACTCCTGGGCCATAGCAGAGGGCTGGCCTGGAAGAGGGGCAACCAGGACAGAATCCGGCGCCCCAACCGGGACTAGAACCTGGGGGGCCGGCGCCGCAGGCAGAGGATTAGCCTGTTGAGCCACGGCGCCGGCCACAGTGTTCTTATGAAGTGATTTATTGGAACAAAATGTTGAATAGACCGAGAAGCTGAATGGAAAAGTTATAGCCCTTCATTTTAAAAATTGATGGGGGCTGGTGCTGTGGCATAGCAGATAAGGCCGCCACTTGCAGTTCTGGCATCCCGTGTGGGTGCCAGTTCGAGTCCTAGCTGCTCCTCTGCCAATCCAGCTCTCTGCTGTGGCCTGGGAAAGCAGTGGAGGATGGCCCAGGTGCTTGGGCCCCTGTACCTCCTGGGAGACCCAGAATAAGCTCCTGGCAGTCCTGGCTTTGGATCGGCCCTGCTCCAGCCTTTGCAACTATTTGGCGAGTAAACCAGTGAATGGAAGACCTCTCTCTCTCTCTCTCTGCCTCTGCCTCTCTCTCTCGTTAACTCTGCCTTTCAAATACATAAATAAATCTTTTTAAAAAAATTATTTTATTTATTTGAAAGACAGGAGTTAGAGAGAAAAGTAGAGCCAGAGAGAGGTCTTCTATTCCACTGGTTCACTCCCTAAATGACCTCAATAGCCAGAGCTGAGCCAATCTGAAGCCAGGAGCTTCTTCTGGGTCTCCCACATGGGTGCAGGCGCCCAAGGCGTTCGGCCATCTTCTACTGCTTTCACAGGCCATAGCAGAGAGCTGGATTGGAAGTGGAGCAGCCGGGAACCAAACCGGCGCTCAGATGGGATGCCAGCACTGTAGGCTGGGGCCTTAACCCGCTGTGCCACAGTGCCGGCACCGTAAGTAATTATTTAAAAAAAAAAAAAAAGTTGAGGCCGGCGCTGCGGCTCACTAGGCTAATCCTCTACCTGCTGCGCTGGCACCCTGGGTTCTAATCCCGGTTGGGGTGCTGGTTCTGTCCCAGCTGCCCCTCTTCCAGTCTAGCTCTCTGCTGTGGCCCAGGAGTGCAGTGGAGGATGGCCCAAGTGCTTGGGCCCCTGCACCCGCATGGGAGACCAGGAAGAAGCACTTGGCTCCTGGCTTCGGATCAGCGCAGTGCACCGGCCATAGCGGCCATTTGGGGAGTGAACCAACAGAAGGAAAATCTTTCTCTCTGTCTCTCACTGTCTAACTCTGCCTGTCCAAAAAAAGCATGGGGCATGCATTTGACCAGGTGGTTAATATGTCACTATGACTGCTCCTATCCCACATCAGAGTGCCTTGTTTCAAGTCCCAGCTCCATTCCTGATTCCAGCTTCCTGATATTGAGCGTTCTGGGAGGCAGCAATGATGACTCAAGTAATTGGGTTCCTACCATCCATGTTGGAGAATTGGATTGGGTTCCTAGCTGGTGGAGGCATTTGAGGAGTGAAACACAGAATCAGAAGCTGAGTAGCCAGGACTGGAACCAACATCACAAGGGTAGGCTTAACCTGCTCCGAATCACCAGACCCTGTTAAGTATTTTGTATTTCAGTGGTTAACTTTAAGACCAAGATTTGGGGAAATTACTTGACTTTCTGGTAACTTGTTGTGGTTTATGTTTTTGTATTGTATCACTCTGAAACCCAGATTCCATATTATGGCATGTGAGAGTGTTCATGATGTGACAAGAGAATAATATGATCTGACCTTTAAAATATTTTTAAAGGATTCATCTGGCTACTTTGCAAAGCTCAGATTGCAGGATAGGAGTGAGGAGCAATAAGAAGGCTTCTAAGAATGTCCAGTCAGGAGACAAGGGGTACTAAAGTAACATTTCTGCAGTTCCTTAAACTGTAGGATTGACTACTCTGGTTCTTTCTAGCTGTACTCATTATTATTAACCTCACTGTAGTCCCTGTTGATGGGCTGTGAGGTATATAATTACCAGAGAGTGAACATTACTAGGGAAATCAGAGGAAGAGAAATTTGTAACTCACACTACTCTCAAACCTCACTGGCTTTTTCTCTAAGGCTATGGAAGGGCGATCAGGCGACTAAGGCTGACCACCTTAGTGACTGTAACACTGTGCTGTTGTGCCTTGGAGGGAGCAAGTGATAACCCAAATCCTTGGGCCATTGCCACCCATGTAGGAGACCAGATGGAGTTTTTGTCTCTTAACTTAAATGTATAGTTCAAGACTAGAAACAGATGCTACTGGAAGGGAAACTGGGTGGCTGGAAGACAAGAATAGAAGGAGGGCGGGCGCTGTGGTGCAGTGGGTAAAGCTGCCGCCTGCAGTGCTGGCATCCCATATGAGTACCAGTTTGAGCCCTGGCTGCTCCTCTTCCAATCTAGCCCTTTGCTGTGGCCTGGGAAAGCAGTAGAAGATGGCCCAAGCTCCTGGCTCCTGGCTTCGGATAGGTGCATCTCTGGCCATTGAGACCAATTGGAAAGTGAACCAGTGGGTGGAAGACCTCTTTCTGCCTCTCCTTCTCTCATTCTCTCTCTGTGTAACTGTGCCTTTCAAGTAAATCAATCAATCTTTTAAAAAAATAGAAGGAAATCTTACTTTTATTTTCTACTATGCTTTTCTGTATTTTTCTTTTTATGTTGTTTTTAAAGATTTATTTTATTTTTTTGAAAGAGTTACACAGAGAGAGAGAGATGTCTTCTATACACTGGTTCACTCCCTAAATGGCCACAACAGCTGGAGCTAGGCCGATTCAAAGTCATGAGCCAGGAACTTCTTCCAGGTTTCCCACGTGTGTGCAGAGATCCAAGGACTTGGGCCATCCTCCGATGCTTTCTCAGGCACATGAGCACGGAGATGTATTGGAAGTGGAGCAGCTGGGACTCAAACCGGCGACTGTATGGGATGCCAGCACTGTAGGCCAGGGCTTTAACCCACTGTGCCAAAGTGCCGGCCCCTGTATTTTTCCTTTAGATGTTTTTCTTTTTACATTTTCACTTTGAAATTGTGTCATACTTAAACAAAAATTAGCAAAATATAATTCAAGTATGCCTCAGTTTCCTCAGTTATCAAAATCAGGAGATTATCTCTGATATAGTGCCTATCAACAAATCTACAAACTTTATTCAGATTCCTTAACTGTCCTCCTACCAGTAACCTTTTTCTGACCCTGGAACCTAATCTGGATATTTCCCTAGTCTTTTGTCTTTCATAACTGTGATACTTTTAAATGGTATGGTTAGCTATTTTATATAATATCCTTCGATTTGGCTTTGTCTCATACTTCCTTTATAATTAAATCAAGTTATGTATTTTGGCAAGTGTACTATAGAAATGGTCTTGTGACCTTTACTATGTATTGTAACAAGACATACATGGTGACATTAGTTTTGATTACTTAATTAATGTATCTTTCACATAGCCACTGTAAAATTATTTTTCCCTTTTAATTAATGTGTTTCGTAACTATGTAGATGTTCTGTTACTCATTTTTGTTGGTTAATTTTAGCATCAGTTGTCACTATAGTATTTACCAGGAGTTTGAATTTGCAGTTATATCTATATTGAGTAATTAGAAGAGCTTTTCTTTCTTTTCCATTTGTTTGTAGTATGGACTCTTGGACACTTGTTTTATTCTATGAGTTATGTTGTTACTGTCATTGCTTATTTTGTTGCTCAGCTTTGAATTTTGTACTGTATCTGCATTTGCTTTTTTAAATTACAGTTTAGTGGGCTGACGCCACGGCTCACTTGGCGAATCCTCCGCCTGCAGCGCCGGCACCCCAGGTTCTAGTCCTGGTTGGGGCGCGGGATTCTGTCCCAGTTGCTCCTCTTCCTGTCCAGCTCTCTGCTGTGGCCAGGGAGTGCAGAGGAGGATGGCCCAAGTGCTTGGGCCCTGCACCCGCATGGGAGACCAGGAGGAAGTGCCTGGTTCCTGGCTTCGGATCAGCACAGAGTGCCAGCTGTAGCAACAACCATTTTGGGGGTGAACCAACGGAAGGAAGACCTTTCTCTCTTGTCTCTCTCTCTCTGTCTAATTCTGCCTGTCAAAAAAAAAATACAGTTTAGTAATTACACAACATTTAGTTTAGTTAGTTTTTAAGTTACATATTACAGCCTTCAATCTAGCATATGTTAACATACAATAGGAGAGGTTTGTTGTTAGAAGCACCCTGTTTCCTTGCATTACAACAAGATAACCAGTGAATTAAGCAAGTGTTCCTGTTTCCTCTTAACTTTAACTAACTTACTGATTGTCCTTTTTTCCTTTCAAGCAAAGATTATTATTAATGGCTTAGCAAGCTGGAACCCACTGTTTGCATAATATAAAATTCACTTTGCAGGATTGACAATATGTCCTTTCAGAGCAGGACCATGTGCAATTGTTTAGGGGTACTTCTTATAAAATGAATGTCAGTGTTTATAAGACAATGACTCTATGTGCGTT